CTGCAGATTTCTGCTTTAAGAAACATTATATTTCATTATAAGCTTTTGCTTTTAAGCAAACAATACAGAGAACACATATGATTCCCTCCTTGTGAGATGAAATAATTAAAGCATCCTGCAAATCCGAGTCTTAATGAGAACTATTTGAAACAGAACAGCTCCAAATATTCTCACAGAATATAGTTTTTTTTTGTTTCAGAAATTGCTGCAACGTCGGGTTAATAGTCAGGTGTTTTCAAGCACAGAGAATGTCATTTTATTTTTTTTCTAAATAATATATTCTCTTTCAAAGTGTTAAGTAACAATGAAATGAGACTTGAAAGAACATGTTTTACCTCTGGGGCGGTTATCACACATCCCAGCTAGCATTAAGTCAGCAGTGAGAATGACTATTAATCACTACAATCAGTTTACCATTCACTGCAGTCTTTGTGTTTATTATGACTCATATGGTGATGAAAAGCCCGGCTAGCACCACCTACAGCAAACCTGGGCATTTTACGGCCCGCGGGCCACATACGGCTCTTTGGTTGTCTTTGACCGGCCCGTGTAAGGTTAATTGGAAATTACAAAATAAATGTATTTTCTCATTTTACATCATGCATGGACTAAGGCTGCATTGCTTTTATTTTGAAGTTGTTTTTTTACGTACACAATGACACAATACATTTAGCTACAGGTGCCCGCGGTTGACATGGTGATTGTAGCCTGCAGAAATGTCCGCTCATGCAAAAAAAAGAAAGATAGATGCCGAATGCAGGATTTTCAACAAAAATTGGACTGCTAAGTATTGTTTTAGTGAAGTAAAGCCGTGTGTTTGGTTTGCGGGGAGGAGATTGCCGTGTTTAAGGACTACAATTTGAGTCGGCATTACGACAAGAAACACTCGGAAAAATACAAGAACTCGTCTGATGCTGAGAGGGCACGGACATCCGAAGCTTTGCTAGCAAAGTTGCTAAAGCAGCAAGGCTTTTTTACTAAGCTTCACACATCCAGGGATGCAGCAACCAGGACCAGCTTTGTGATATCCCACAAAATAGCTAAAAACAGCAAGCCGTTTTCGGAGGGAGAGTTTGTCAAAGAGTGCATGGTGGACTCTGCCACACTAATATGCCCTGAAAAAAGGTGCATTTGAGCAAATCCCGCTGTCCAGGCGAACCGTGACCAGGAGGATCGAGGACATAGTGGGGAACCTGGAGCTTCAGCTGCAACGTGAAGTGGCAAGTTTTGACTTTTTTTCATTGGCCTTAGACGAGAGCTGTGATGTCCGCGACACAGCCCAGCTGCACGTATTTGTCCGGGGATAACAGACTTCAAGCTCACAGAGGAGCTGGCAGCAATGCGGTCGATGAAATGGACAACGACAGGGAGTGATCTTTCTACAGAGGTAAATGCGTGCATGGGCACTCTGGGATTGAAATGGGAGAGACTGTCAGGTGTCACAAGAGACGGTTGTCCAAATCTTACAGGGAAAAATGTCGGACTTTTGAAACGCATGCAAGATAAAGTGACAGAAATCGATGCAGATCAAAAATGGGTGTTTTTGCATTGTATTATACACCAACATGTGTTGTGCAAGTCAGAGCTAAAAATCAACCATGTTACTGATGTTGTTACTAAAATAATAAACTTCATCAGGGTGCGGGCAATGAATCACAGACAGTTTGTCGCTCTCTTGGAGGACTCCACACAGCTGTCAGATGGCTCAGCCTGGGGAAAGTGCTGAAGAGGGTTTGGGACTTGAAAGCAGAGATTTGAGAGTTTTGCGAGAGGAAAGGCAAAGACATTCCAGAGCTCTCAGATGAGGATTGGATGGCAGATTTTGCATTTGCTGTTGATGTGACTGCACTGATGAATGAACCGAACACCAAACTGCAAGGCAAGGGCCTTTTTGTTCATGAAGTGCACAGCCTCGTGAAGGCCTTCATGAGCTGCAGTTTCTTTCAAGGCAACTGGAATAGCAACACTCTCACTCACATGCAAACCCTGAACGAAGTCACACACTCAGCTGATCACCTCAGCAGGTACTCATCCATGTTAGGAGCATTACATGGTGAGTTTTCAAGGCGTTTTGAAGATCTCAGAACAGTGGAGGATGAAATGCACATGATTTCCTCTCCCTTTACCTGCAGTGTGGATAATGCACCCAGTGATGTGCAGCTGGAACTCATAGACCTGCAGTCTGATGCAGTACTGGCAGAGCACTTTAAGTCAGGATCTCTGCTGGATTTCTACTCTTCTCTTAAGGAGGAGAACTTTCCAAACCTGAGGAGACATGCTCAGAAGATGTTGGTTCTCTTCGGCTCTACCTACATTTGTGAACAAACATTTTCAATGATGAAGTTTACAAAATCCAGGTATAGATCCTCTCTCACTGATGATCATTTGTCAGCTGTGCTTCGCATCTCCACCTCAGACATTCAACCTGACTTTGATGCACTCGTTAAAGCCCAGCAGAGACTAGATTTCTCTCACTGAATAAGAAAAAAATCGCTTAAAAACACGAAATAAGGTGTTTGGACCACAAATGTAGGCAACTAGCAGTGAACTGGGACACTTTTTTTAAACCTCCTTCTCAAGATCACAGTTCAGTGATTTTATTTTACAGACAATACTGTGTGTCTGTAGAATGCTAAGAACCTCTCTCCAACAATATTTGAAACTCAAAATGTGTTTTGGAGTGAATGTGACTGAAACTGTTAACTAATATAAGTCACAAATGTTTAACAAAAACCAAATTTGCACACTTTGTTTACCATTGCCTTGGGAAAATTGAATAAATCACATTTTTGTAAGCCAACCTCACTTTTTCCTTTTTGCTCATTTATAACATATAGTCTACTCTTACCAGCTTGAAAAAACAATGGTATTTACTGCTTTTTATAAAGAAATACCATTAATATTATGCATAATTGACTTCAGCCTTTTGGCCTGGCCCTCCACAATATTTTCTGTTTCTCATGTGGCCCCGTGGAAAAATTAATTGCCCACCCCTGACCTGCAGCATGCTTAAGACAGTTCAGGCTCTTTTCCAGTGCCGTTCCATGGTGGAGAGATCACCAAACGCTCCTGCAACATCTCTACATCCTTTTATCTCCACCCTGCTTTTCAACACCGTCACTCACCACTGAGAGCATGACTAGTGTTCTTCCTTCTAACTCGTTTATCGTTGGAATCAGTAGTAACTGCACTGGTACATCTTCCTTTGTACTGTTGGACAAAAGCATCTGCCCAACACATAAACATCATTGTTGGTATTGTACAGTTAATGTTATGTAGTGATTAGAGACTTTTTTGCCAGCAGGAGGTCTCATTTAATGAACTTCCAAATCAGACCACATGCGGGAGGCGCTGTGAGAAAGGACCCACGGTTATATTCTTTGCAGACTGATTCGTAGCAGAAATGCAAAGAGAAGTTTGAAACCCTGATTTGGTGCAACTGATCCAACAGTCACAGATGAAAGTACAGAGGAGAGCAGGAGGTGTCATGGAGTTCACTTCAGACACGACAAGAACTTAAAAAGGAGAGAAAAGAACAGACCAATCTTTTATCTTGCATCCGCAGATAGACACAAACTTCCTTTTTCTGTCTTTTGCCATTTCTTCTTCAAGGGTTTAGAGGAAAATCTCAACAGGCATTTGATCTTTTTTCTTTGAAATTTTATCTTTTGAAATTGGATATTTTGCATTTCTTGACTCCTTCTAATCCTCTCATCAGATGATGCTCAGAATCTGATTCTTTTCAATGGTTCCATGTCCAATGAGTGCAGCAGTATTACGATTCATTAAAATCCACCTTCAGGTGGCCGGTAAATTACTCCTTTACAAGAGGTTTGTGAAGTAAGAACTAAATCATCTGGGTTTGCTGAGAAGCAGCACAGAAGATTTGTTTAATCTGAGGTTTTTTGGAACAAAAACTGAATTTATTCAAATTATTTGAAAGAGACTGAAATGCTTAGAAATAGTTTTACTCTAAAGTTTTATCGTTCTTGGTTCTTTAAGACCAAAAGGAAAGTGACATTGTGATATAATGATTAAACTTTGAAGTCAACAGTATTAAAGATGGCGATCACCAGAGGTGTGGACTCGAGTCACACTCGAGTCATTATTAATGACTTCTGACTTGACTTGATAAAATCTATGAAGACTTACGACTTGACTCGGACTTGAACGCCAGTGACTTGCGATTTGAATCGACTTGCATTTATTGACTTGATGATGACTTGAGCATATTTGATATTTTAGCACAAAAGTGGCACGACATGGACAAAAATCATAAATCATTCTTCGTTCCAGATGTTGAACTTCTAAATGCAGCAGCACTTTGTTTATAATCAATTTCAGTTACTATAGCTTTAGCTAAAGCTCAAGAAAAATCTACAAGTGAACAAACTAGTCTACTGATTTGGACCAAAATTAAAAACTGCAGGTGTGAAAATAATTTTCTCATCTACATCTTGAGCAAAAGAAAACATAATTTTATTTAAAAAACTGTTTTTGACAACTGTAGGAGACAGTCTGAATATTCATTGAGTGTTAATCATCCATCCTGCAGCAATTAAAGTGATTTCACAGAAAGCAGAACGGCACTAATGACAGCTTTCATCTCACCGCTCACAAAGGTGCTCTGCAACTTGCTGAAATGAGCTCTTCTCACACTGCTTTATTTTTTGTTGCCTCTTCTTTTTTTCTTGTCGTCTGTAATCTGGAAATCAATCAGAGCTCCATTACATGAAGGACGTCTCAGTTCCTGCACCTTGAGGATGGACTGGGGTGAAGGGGGTTGTCGAAAAAAGCTGTATTCTTTGCACTGTTGAGTCATAAACAGGTGATGCCTGAACGTTTCTCTTTTAGGTGCGAAATTTAGAGGAATCAGCATTGCTTTGTCCTCTTTATTATCTCTTTACCTCCCCTGTCTGCACCTCAAAAGGGGCCAAGTTAAGATATTTGATGAGAAGATGAGGAAAGGAATAAAAAGTGATTTGATTTCTTAGACAAACCTGTCGTCGGTCCAGAGCTATGGCGGTGAGGGTGAGAGTGGAGACGTGCAGAGAGCAGTACTGCACAAAACGGCTGATGTGACACATTATCCTCCCAAACACCCAGGTGCTGTTCACGAATCTAACCTGATGGAACACACAAAGTGTAAAACTCATCACACCCATCCAGTTTAGTCAGTCAAATCAGCACCAATTTAAAGGTGCATCATGTAGAAATGAAGTAAAAATGACATCCTGTGGTAAAATGTTGTTACTGCAACCACTTAAAAAAACTGGAGCTTTTAGCCGGCCATCGTCAAATTACAAATGTCAGCCCTGTAGTATTAGCTGGCAGGACACACAGCAACCCCACACTCACTGATGGTAACAGTAGTTAGTCCCTCCTTCCTTTTGTTTTTGACAGGAGAAAAACTGACAATCCTGCAGCCAGCTGGATATGAAAAAAATGACTGAAACATTAGACTCTTTTGGCATTTTCTCACTGTAAAATTATCACTATAATCTCACATATTGCACCTTTAACTACCTGAAGTGATCTAATCATCTTATTAGATGGTCATCAATCAGCTTTACCCCTAAAACAGCAGATGATAAAGATTTTATTTGCTGCTAGTTTTGGGAAACCACCAAACAACAACAGAAACATTCTGGCTAATTTGATCTGATTTTTAGAGAGAACGATTCAAATATAGAGGCGGTTTGATTCCAGGCTGGATTAAAAGTTCTTACCAGGGTGAAAGGTGTGTTGAGGACCGTGATGAAGATATCAGCCACAGCCAGGTTTAGAATAAACAGGCTGGTGGAGGACTGGGTGCGCTTGTTTTTGACCACCACATGACACACCAGCGTGTTCCCGAACAGAGAGACGATGATGATCAGAGAGTAAGCGGCCACCAGCAGCGCCTTCACCCTGCCGTCCTGAGACTCCTTCCCGCTCCTTTTCTTGTTGGCCAAAGAGCGCCAGTCCTCCAGCAGCCCTTCATCAAAGTCCAGGAGGAAAAAGCCCGAGCTCCGATTCCCAGACTGTCCCGAAACATTCCCCAAACTCTCCGTGTGAAGCAACACGTCCTCCCCTGGAAGAAGTGAGGAGTCGTTAAGCGTGCGTCCCGCACTGCTCACCCAGAACAGCGCGGACAACCAGACGCACGCTGCTCTCATCTTCCCTTCTCCTGGTGGCGTTAAACGGGTGGAACTGTGGGGGTGAAGCCCACTGCTGTTCATCAGCAACAAGTGGTGTGGTGCGCCTCAGCAGCGCTCCTGTTCTTAAACAGGTGCATCAGCGGCTCGTGCGCCACACGCGCGCGTCTGCATGCGCTCCAGGCGAATTGATGAGGATGGAAGATCTAATTCTTTATGAGAAATTCAAGGAAGTCCTCCCTGACACTAGGCATTAATTCTACCTATTTATACTTAAGCATTAGGATGTGTTTAAGTCATTGTCTTCTGTGTGTGTGTGTGTGTGTGTGTGTGGGGGGGGGGGGGGGGGGGGACCAGAAATTGTGTTTTACAGCTGAAAAGCACCAACAACAGCAAAGGGGAAAAATACGGGAGATTTATTTGGAGTCAGGTTGTCTCTGAGTCCACACACACACACACACACACACACACACACACACACACACACACACACAGCGGATTGATCTATTAAAAGCCTCTTCTGATGGACAGTGACCTTTCCATCACCGCACTTTTGAAGGTCAAAGTTCAAACCATTTCAGACTGAACCATTAAGACATTATTTACGGATCCTTCCGAGTCCCTAAATGGATTGTAGATGACAGAGCCCTCAATTGTCACGGCGCTTGAGCCATTTTACTGCTGAAGAGGACATAGAGCAGGGCTATTCAGTTTGGCCTCGAGGGCCGGTGTCCAGCTTGTTTTAGTGGTTTCTCTAGTCCAACACATTAGATTCAGTGGCTGAATCACGCATGCAGCAGCTCATCAGGCTCTGCAGATGCCTGTTGATCACTTGCTGATTGAAATCATGTGTTTAAGCATGGTTAAAACAAAAACGTGCTGGATATCGGCTCTAGGCCCAGAGTTGAATAGGCCTACCATAGAGCTATTTTGACTTAGTTTTTCTTTAGATTTTCTTTTCTTTTCTTTTCTTTTCTTTTCTTTTCTTTTCTTTTCTTGTCTTTTTTCAGATCAAGCTGCATTTCTTTTGGTAGTGAGACAGTTTCAGAAGAAGAAGAATACAACAAAATGCATCAGGTATCATCTTCAGATAACAAATAACTCCTCAAGAAATATTTTCCCATCAAAAATTTGCAACACAATGACGTCACCATATGACAACCAATCATGGTAGCACAAGTGTCATAACATGACTCAACAACCCTAAGATGATGGTATCTCCATATGTTCAGAACATAAATCTGCTTGTCCTCCCGCAGCACTCACAAATGATTCTCCTCTCAGGATGTTTATTTGTGCAGGAGGTGCTTTCAACTGCATTCAACAACACTTTCTGTATATTTGCAGTGTTTCCTTGGGTTATATAATGACTGCCCCTTGAGAGAAGAAGTTTTTACCAACTTTGCAGAGAGATTTGGTGAGAAATTTGAGTAATAATACAAATTTAGTTTAGTTAAGAAGTGCAGTGGCTCTGAAGTAAAACTGAATGCAGTCTTTCTGCCTCGTAAAAAGGGAAATCTCATGGGTTAGATTGATTTGGCCTTTAAAGTGACATTAAATTACTTAATACTAGATCTTAAGTGGGTTGCATCATCTTTGACATTTTAGAGCAAATGGTACACTACAGTGTGTGGAGACAGCAGAGGGGATCCATTTGAAGCTTTAGCTAAGTGAGATGAATTTTCTGACCCAGCTTATCGATCATGACTCCTGGAGATGTTTTTGTCTACATGGATTGCTGTTTTTAAAGGGAGTCTTTGCAGTTGTGCTTTGCTTTTAGCACCCCCTAATGTCCAGTTAGTAAAACCAAAAGTGAAACTTATCTCCTTGCTGTGCTTTCTCTTTTTAACACTAACTGCTAACTGCTGAGATATCTTCTCAGCCTTCATTCTACAGGAGCGGTTCACCCTTAAATCAAACAAATCAGCTGTGTTCAGGATCTAAAACATGCAGAAAACGTGGAAGCAGACTGCAGCACCATGCCAGCTCCACCACCAGGATATGGCTCATTTGCCAACTTATAGCCAAGATGCCTCAGAGTTAGTTCAAACAAAGAACAATGCTTAGAAGATATAAAAGGAAATAAAACTGATGACAGATTTGAGCAAATAAAACATAATAAATGTTTTCAGTAAATGGCGAATGTTTGCAAAAATACATGTATACTAGCCTAGTGAACTAGACCAAATTCTTGCTTTGCAAAGTTTAGGCATGCTCCATTGGAACCTCAGCAGCTCCTACCAGGACTGTGGCTAGCCAATCACAGCTCTCTAGAGGGGTTTCAAACACATAAAGAGCTGTGATTGGTCCATAATGGTGGGCCAATCATAGTGCTCTATCTGCTTAGTGAACAAATCACAGAGCTTTATCCACTTTGTGGGCCAATCAGGGCACTCTATATGCCTGGTGGGTGGGATGATGCAACAGAGTGAAACAAGAGGATGTCACATTCATTGTCCAGTGGAATGCGGAGATCATTTGAAAGACAACGGTAGAACCCGCCCCACAACCGAGAGCCGTCAATGGAGCATGGCCAGACTAAATAATACATTTATTTAGTCTGGCTTGCCAGACTACATGTATACAGGAATACAGAGAAATCAGGAATGAATGGATGAATTTATGTAAATAAGAGTGATATGGGTAGTAAACATGGGCAACAAATACTAAAAACAATTTAACAAAAGTCCCAAAGAATGGAGAAGAGAAAATATTCTAAAAACGATCTGTGTGAAATCGTTTTTGAAGCTGCTGTAATGTTATGACTGATAAGATGAGGATTGTACTGATATTATAGTGATTCAATGCAACTATGCTGGGATTGGGATTGTTATAATTAGAAATGGGGATTCATTTTAAATGTTGGGTCATTCAAACGGAGCAGTTGCAGTTATAGCAAATTTATACAAGACTATCTGAAATAAAGATTAGTTTTGTCTATTTTTTACAGAATCATGCAATCAGTTCTTCCTTCTTTTTCTTCTTCTTCTTCTTTGCAAAATTGTTTTTAAATTAGAGAGCGTAACAACTTCACAACATTTAATAATGCAGCCTGCTCGTGCGTGATGACTGACGAGAAGCAGCGAAAAGTTCGAGCTCAAACATGGGGGGGGGGGGGGGGTTAGAAACGGCCCAGATGAGCAAAAGGTGGCAGAACCCAGCGCAAGCAGCAACGGAACAACTAAAAATGACACCAGCGAAGAAGAATACAGCCGCTAGCGCTCTTGGGTACTGTTGTTTTTACAGAGTAACTCTCCCCTAACAGCCTTGGTTTAAAAACTACATTTCCAATGCGTCTTCACTCATGATGCTCGTTCATTCAAGCATATGTTAGTGAAACATTTGAAGGTCCAGAGTAAACTACGTTATCTACAAACAAACCGACATAATCAGAGTAAAGGTAAATCAGGATTTTTCTTTAGTTTGGCTTCAATATGACGGTGAAATTCTGCGTAATAGCTCTACGTTTAACGTCTCTGTTTTGCTTTTGACGCTTGATTTCGCTTCTGCTAGCATAAACATCTGTACCGTTGCTGCGATCACTTTATTGTTTGTTTCATCTCACAATCATAGCGATTTAATTTCTGTTTTATGGAATTGAGAGCAATGAAAATAAATATAATTTAATTTTAAACACTAAATGCTCTTATTTTCAGACAGAACTGTTATTTAAGAATGTAACTGCCTTATTTTTCCCACTCTTTCATATTAAAAGAAATTATTGTTATTACAAGTATAATAACAACATTTACATTAAATTATTGCATTCTGCTTTATAATTTATAATCAATGAAACATCAGATAGTAATTTATCAACACACCAGTGGCACCAGCAGTTTGGTTAGACGTTTTATTCCAAGTGTCATATTTTCAGAGATAATAAAAAGAGAAAAGCTAATACTTTCACGTAAAATACCGGTAAATTTACAGGGTTTGCATTTTTTTTCTTGCAACTGATTTCAACACAGATTTCTAAAACTCACCTTATTTGCAACACCTGGATGTTCTCATCTTCTGTGTGACCGCACCTGTATGTAATGCTGTAGGGGATTCAGTATCATCGTATGTTGCAAATGCATCATCCACTGCTCTTTAAAAGACCAGATTCACTGAGAAACATGTAAGACTTGTTATTTTTGAAATGCTAAATTTTACGTTGAGCTTCACATGCAGGCTAAATGTGAAAATAGTCTTCTATCTCTATTTCCTGCAGTAACTGCATAAAGAAATTTAATATGGAAACAATTGACCTTAAAAAAAGTCACTCAGATTTACATCACACTGTAAATTTGTATTCATGGAGTCACCCATCTTGGCTCATATATATTTAGCGTCCAGGAGAGGGCAGAGAACATCCGGGCTAGTAGAAGTTAACCATTAGCATTAGCAATTCCACAACATGGCAGAGCTCCATGTGTTGTTTGCAGAGATAAAACATCAACGTTGCAATTTTTACCCAAGACAGAAAAGTGAATGGAGGCAGTGGAAGAGCTGCACTCCTATTAGCCAATCAGAGGCAAGTGTTTTTCTCCTCAGGAGAAGCTACAATGGTATTCTGCTGAGCTGTGGTGGCCTCATGGAGGGAGCCATCAGCTGGCACACTACTGCTAACCACTTAACATTCTCCCTCCCCTGATAATAACAATTTTCCTTTCTTTGACATGGAATGTGCTACTACCTGTTGAATTAATTATAGATTCACTAAGATAAAGACAATGAAATAGATCTTATACTAAATCACTAAGAAATCATAATGTAGCTATAGAAATACTACTTGGCATATATGTGTGTGTGTGTGTGTGTGTGTGTGTGTGTGTATCTGGAGGTTTTTTCCTGTTAAAAGCTACATGTTTGCCTAGTAACTTGAGGCAATCTGCTGGGTTCCTTATATAGGATTTTTTTTTTTTTTTTTACTGAATGGCTTAATGAACTGAACTGTACTGGAACGTTTACTAAGGCCCTGTCCACACCTAGCCGGGGATCTGCCAAAACGTAGATATTTTTCTACGTTTTGGCCTGTCATCCACACGAAAACTGAGTTTTTTCACACGAAAACGGATCTTTTTAAAAACTCCGGCCAAAGTGAAGATCTGCGTTTTCTCCGTTTTGGGTGTCTGCGTGTGGA